GATGCAAGAGGGGAAAGTATATGGAGAAAAAGAGAGAATTAAGAGAGTGGGGAAGCAATGTAAAAAGAGAGCAAATGAAGAGTGGTGAGATGTATCAACAAATTTTTTTGAAAATAAAAAAAGTTTGGAGGAGAATAAACAAGTTAAGAAAGCCTAGAGAACAAATGGATTTGTCAGTTAAAAATAGGAGGGGAAGTTAAAAAAAGGATTTTTAAAGGTTTTTGGGAAGAGGGAGGGGAATTTTTTTGGGGAAATTGTTAAATGTTGATGAAGATGGGAACGGGATTTCGTGTATAGGCAAGGGGAATAACATCTTGGGGGAAGTGGGGAAAGAGCCAGTTTGTGAGTGGGGGGGGAAGATTCGTGAGGCATGGGTAAAATAAAGGGGGGGCCCAAGCGCCGGAGGGGGGAGGGGATAAAAAATAAAATGTTAAAAGCGGGTTTGGGGAATATTTTTGGAGGGGTTGGTGCAATTATTTAATAAATGTATGGAAGAGGGAAAGGGGGAAAAAAACCCTAAGGAGAGAGCATGCATAGTTCCTTTGTAAAAAGGGCAAAGGGATAAAAGAGAGTGAAAAAATTATAGGGGATAAGCCCTTTTGGTTACCGGGAAAGTGTATGGAAGAGTTATAATTGAAAAAATTTAAGATAAAAAAGGAGAATGGGAAAAACAGATGAAAAAGGGGGCTTTAAAAAAGGTTAGGGGTGGTGGACCGGGTTTTTTACAGGAAACATTTAAAGGGAACAGTATTTAGATAAGGCAAAGGGGTTCTTTTTGGCTTTTTAGGTTTTGGAAAAGGCGTAGACAGGGTGGAGGGGGGGGCAATGGGGCAGATTTTGCAAGTGTATGGTTAGGAGGTGGTTACGGAAACAGTAAAGGGATTTTTTTACGGGGATAGTGAGGCCCCAAGTTAGAGTTTTGGGGAAAAGAAAAAATTTTTTTTCCCATAAAAAGCCTTAGCCCAAGGGAAGTGTAAAAGTCACCGGGGTTTTTTTTAAATATTTATAGAGGGGGTTGTAAAGAAGTAAATGCGGGGGCCCGGGGCAAGGGGCGTGGTTAAAAGATAAAGAATCACACCAAAGGGGGAAATTGTCACACTCTTTTTTGCTAAATGACCCCTGTGCTCTTGGGAGATTTTTGAAGAAAAGGGTTGCAGAGTTTTGGTAAATGAATTTGGTAGGGTGTCCCAAAGAAGAAAAAAAAAGGGAAAAAATACAGGAAAAAAAAGGTTTTATGAGGATAAAAAAAAAGATTAGGGGGATGAAAAATTGAATATCAGATGGAGGGAAAAATTTTTGGATAGAATTTTCAGAGGGCATGAAAAAAAGATTTTAAGGGGTGAATAAACCCTCCCCCTAACTTAATAGGGACCCAAGGGGAAAATACAAAGGGAGGAAAAATTGGGTTAAAGGGCCCCAAGGCCCGATAATGTATTTAAATTTTAGGAAAACTTTTAAATTTTGGCATGTTGATTTGGGAAATTTTTTGACAGGGAATTTTTTGAATCAAAAGACTTCTTAAAAGTAATTTTAGGGTTGTTTTTGAAGCAGTTTGTGACAGAACCCCACAAGGGGGAAAAAACCTGCTTGCTTTGTTATGGCAAACAATAAAACCCTTGTTAATAATTTAGAAATTTTAGAGAAACTGGTGCAAACGACCAAAAAAATCAATTTTCATTACATTGAATGGGAAATAAAGATAGTAGCGATAACTCAGTAACAGTCCCGATTTTCGCTTAGCAGATTACGATGGGCTTAAAAAAACAATTACATCGTTTTACTGGGGAACGAAGAGGGGCTATCAAAAATACATTTTTTTAACACTATACATGCTGCTTTAAAAAGCGTTTATCCCCTAAAAAGAAATTAGAACAAAAAGAAATGACCCAAAATGGATGAATAATAGGCTCAAATATCTACTAGGCATAAGAAAGGGAAATTTAAAAGGCGTAACAAAAGAGGTGAGGGTCATCTTATGAATCAGTATTTTTGACATTAAGAAGGGGCTTTTAAAAAAAGGGTAAGAAAAGCAAAAAAGGGGCTATAAATTTTAAAATTGCTAGGGGTTCCCAAAACTAAACCCCAAAAAATTTTTTCCAGGGCTATAGAACAAAAGTTTGAGATAAGAAAGGGGCCCCTTAAAAATAAAATATGGGCACCTTACTGACAATGAGAATGAAATGTGCTTTATTTTAAAAAATTAATTTTTCTCAGTTTTTTACACAGAAAACTAACAATATTTTCCCGTAAATTAAAATTTTTTCAAATGGGGTAGAAAAGATAAAATGGGAAACATCACATCCAGTGGAGGTTTTGAGGCCGATAACAACGAAGCAAAAAAAGTTTCCCCGGGCCTGATGAGGTTTTTTTAAGGGGCTTAAAAGGGAAAGCAAAATGGAACTCCCGTGAACCATTTAAATAATATTTTTAATTTAAACTCCAAACGGTGAGTTCTGGGTATGTGGAAATGGCTAATGTAAACTCCTATTTTTAAAACAGGGGGCAAAATCGTTTCCGCCCAAATTTTCCGCCCATAACCTGAAACCCCAATTTTTAAGGCAAATTACAGATCAATTTTAAGCTGAGATTATAAGAACCATCTCGATAAGCATAGCCTTTATTAATTTATACTCACCTGGATTCAAAAGAGGCCGGTCTTGTCTAAATAATTTTTTTAAATTTCTTTATAAACTTTGAGGCTGTTTACCAAAAATAAAGAAAATTTTTATTATTTACTTGATTTTAGTAAGGCTTTTTTAAAGAGTTTTCCCCACCATTGACTGTTAAAGAAAAATGGGGAGCCCAAGGCATTGGGGGAAAAAAGGGTCCGTGGATCGAGCTGGCCCACGAAAAGGAACAGAAGGGGTCCCAAAAAGGGGGGGGGGGGGGGGGGGGTTTAAAAAAGAGGGGGATTGTAACAAAAATGGCGTTCCCCAGGGATCAGTCCCCTTGGGGGCCCCTTTTTTTTTATAATAAATCAATGATCTTTAAGAGGGAATTACTAGTGATAAAGAGCAAATTCCCGTGACACAAAAATAGGTGGATAATTGATTAAACGTAAAATTTTAAAGGGGAAATTCAGGAGGGCTTAAAAAAACTCTATTTTTGGGCAGAAAAAATTGGGCAGATGCAGTTTAATTTAGATAAGTGCAAGGTTCTGAAGCTTTGGGGATGCCCAAAACCCCATACTTAAAAATTAAATGATGTAAAACTTAGCCATACGTTGCGAAAAGGACGGGGGGTTAGGTGACAGAAACCCTAAACCAGACAGCAATCCCAAAGCGTACAAATAAGCAAATAGATTAGGGGATTTAATAAAGAAGTGAAGCAACGAAGTCCAGGGGTCATACTGGCTTTTACTCTTAGTAAGCCCCCCCTTAAAAAATTTATGCAGCTCATTTTTCGGTCTCCGTATTACAAAAAGGACAAAATTCGTTAGAAAACTTTCAGCGTAGGATGACTAAATTAAACATGCATCAAAATCTTCCTTAGAAGAAAGATTAAAGACTCTTAATTTACTTCATTTTTTAGACAAGAATGAGGGGCCCGACGAAGGATAATGGAAGATGGGTTTTAATAAAGGGGGTATTAATAAGGTCTTAGGATTCTCTCCAAAAGAAAACCCGCAGAAATGGTTTTAAAATTAAAAATTTTTAGTTTTTAGAAAGGACATAGGAAAGTATTGGGTTTGGGAAAATGGGTATTGATAGGGGAACAGTCACCTAGTTGGGTTATTGAGGCTAGGACTTTGGTAGTTTCAAATCTAGGTTGGGTAAAATACATAGTGGGGGGTTGGATTTGGGGGGACTTTCACACAGAGCTTATTTCTTGGGGAGCATTGAAAAAAGGGGGTTGGGGAAATGTTTGTTTGTGGGATGAAATTTTAAAGGGCCTGCCCCAAAGGGGCCCGCGGGCCCCCTGCAGTGTTCCTCCTTTCTATGTTCTTTTGTTCTTAACTATTTTAGTTTTGGGGGGGGACGTGCAGCGGATGGGTCTATGAAAATAGGGAAACAAAGAAATTATGAGGGAAAAAGTTTGGGGGGTGACTAGGGTCTTGGAGACAAAAACCTTTGTCCTTGGGGGGCAAAAAGGGGAAAATTTTGAGAGATAGTTTTACCAACGCTCTTTTATGGGGGTGAAGCGTGGGTGATGAATTTGCAGCGAGGAAAGGCTGGAGCAGTGGGGTGTCGGTTGAGGGGAATTGTGGTGTGAATATAATGCAGAAAATTTGTTAATTGGAAGTTAGGAGGGGGTGCGGGATTACCAAAAAATGGCCAAGGGGGGGAGGAAGGGTGTTTAGTGGGTTTGGGGCATGAGAGAGAATGGAGCGATACAGAATGACTTCAAGAGTGTATCAGTCTGTAGTGGAAGGAAGGCGGGGTAGGGGTCGGCCTAGGAAGGGTTGGAGGGAGGGGGTAAAGGAGGTTTTGTGTGCGAGGGGCTTGGACTTCCAGCAGGCATGCGTGAGCGTGTTTGATAGGAGTGAATGGAGACAAATGGTTTTTAATACTTGACGTGCTGTTGGAGTGTGAGCAAAGTAACATTTATGAAGGGATTCAGGGAAACCGGCAGGCCGGACTTGAGTCCTGGAGATGGGAAGTACAGTGCCTGCACTCTGAAGGAGGGGTGTTAATGTTGCAGTTTAAAAACTGTAGTGTAAAGCACCCTTCTGGCAAGACAGTGATGGAGTGAATGATGGTGAAAGTTTTTCTTTTTCGGGCCACCCTGCCTTGGTGGGAATCGGCCAGTGTGATAATAAAAAATATAATAAAATATGTATATATAAAAGAGGAGGTGACTAAAATGCCGTAAGCAAGGGGCTAGCAATCCCTTCTCCTGTATAAATCACTAAATTTAAGAAGAGAAACTTTCATTTTTCTTTTTGGACCACCTTGCCTTGGTGGGATATGACCGGTTTGTTGAAAGAATATGAATTATGAAAACATTAAATTGTTACAAGAGGGTAATGAAGAGCTGTTATGAGTGAAAGCATAACCTACCAAAGTTGGATCAACATCTTCCATTTCTATGTATCGTTGATATATTTTGTGAACTTCTTGATATCGTAGTCGAGACTCTTCAAAGTCAGCATATGCAAAGAATAGCAGCTGATTCTTTCTCAGTGGCCCAGAGATTGCTCTCTCATATATCTGTGCAGCTTCCTCACTGAAGATTTTGCTTGCATTTACATCCTATGACAAAAACAAATAATACAGTAAGCAGAAAGCATCATAGTTTAAGAACACTGTAATAAAAAATACTTGGTACAGGAAAGCTTCAATAATTAAAAAGCGTTAAGTATAGGTAAAACAGTTCGGCTTTGTCACTTAGTTGTAAGTGCATATTGGTAATGACAAGCAATGTTCCAGCTCTTGGGGTTACCTCTTTATTTCTGACTCACTGACTGACATAAATTATCATATTTATGTTCCTAATTAGTCTATTACACTTCTTGATTACTATTAGGTTGAACTAATACAGTATTTCTTTGTCTCTATAACTTGGCTTGGTGTTTAGTTTTCTATTGATGTCTCATGGATTCTTCCCTTGTAAAGTCTGCTCTTGTCTACTCTGTGCCACAGAACATTTTGTATTTTGTGATCATATTCCCTCATGTTCTGCATTCCTCCAGGAATAGGAAATCAAACATGTGTAGCCTTTACTCGTGGTTCACACTGCCCAGCTACACCAATTGTCTGTAAGCTTATCACTGAACATTCTCGAGATTCTTTGTGTTAGACTAGGCAAGAGTTCTCACCAGGGGCAGCTCCAGGGGTTTTATACAAGGAAGGCTTAGGGGGTGGCACTATGGTTGGGAAAAGGGGGCTAGGGGACCTGGCTTGAAGCAGCATTATTATTTTAACCCTTAGGGGGTTTCGGACGTACTAGTACGTCTTACGACCCAGGGTTTTTGACGTACTAGTACGCCTAAATTCTACAGCCCTCAAATCTAGCGAGAGAAAGCCGGTAGGCCTACATATGAAAGAATGGGTCTATGTGGTCAGTGTGCGCAGTATAAAAAAAATCCTGCAGCACACAGTGCGTAATGAGAAAAAAAAATTTGACCGTGTTTTGGGATTAAAACAGCGACTTTGCACTGTATTTTCGTATGGTATCTATTGTTGTATTCTAGTTTTTTGGTCTCATTTTATAGAATGGAAGACATGTTACAGAAACTGAGATGATTTTAACTGGTTTTACAATGAAAAGTACCTTGAAATTGAGCTCAAAGTAGCAGAAATGTTAAATTTTTACCAAAGTTCAAAAGTAAACAAATCATGCTATGCGTCCAATACACGTCAACTGGCGAGTCTAATACTCTTTCACAAGTGCGCTGATATTATTTATACCATTTCTACACTAATGCAGTAGTCTGCATAACAGTAAATCTTATTTTTTTTGTAAGAATAAAAATTCAAAGCGGAAAGCCAAAGAAATATAAGAGGGGCCTGGGGATATGACTAACAGAGAACTTGTTATTTTAGTGCCAGGAATGTCTGTCTTGTTTATTCTGGACCCTATTTGGAAATTGGCATCTTTTGAAATTTGTGTGAAATTGGCAAAATTTCTAAATTCTGACGACTTTATTGGATAGTTGAAATCGGTAAATGGGTGGTTTCTTGTACACATTTGATAGAAAAAATGGAGTTCTAGCAAAATAGTTATGATTTTTGTGAACTAGTACACTGGAATTGGCCGAAAATAGGGCTCAAAGTGGGCAAAATCGCCGATGCATAAACATTGTCGAAACCGCTAACTTCGCGAGAGCATAATTCCTTAAGTTTTCCATCAAATTTCATACTTTTGGTGTCATTATGATCGGGAAAAGATTCTCCATCTTTCGTAAGAAAAAAATAATTTTTTTTTTTAAATTTGGCCGACCCTGAGAACAAGTCTCTGAGAGGACCTGTCGACCCCCAAAGGGTTAATTGGGGGGACTTTCGGGACCTGCTTTTATTTTTATTAGGGGTTTGCTATATACCTTACGACCCATATTTTGAGTACTAGACGCCTAATTCTACAGCTAATCTAGATGAGAAGTCCTAGGCACTGAAATGGTCTATGTGCATTGCCATATAAAAAAATCCTAGCAGCATCACAGTCGTAATGAAAAATATTTGACTTTTTGGATAACAGATTTGCACATTTCGTATGGTATCTTATGTTTAATTCAGTTATTATGGTCTCATTTGATAGATGGAAACATGTTACAGAACTGAGGATTTTACTGGTTTTACAATCAAAAGTACCTTGAAATGGACTGTAGCAGAATGTTAAATTTTACCTAAGTTCAAAAGTACAAATTCATGGGTCATGACAGTCCGGAGTACTATAGCTCTTTCAAGTGGGTATTTAACCATCTACACTATGCGTAGTCTGCATAAGTAAATCTTTTTTTTTGTAGATAAAATTCAAAGCGGAAAGCCAGAAATTAGAGGGCCGATTGCCAGAGACTTGTTATTTTATGCCAGGCATGCGCTGTTGGCCCGAAAAAAGAAAAACATTTCTACACCATGATATTCATCATCGAAATGTTCTTGCCAGAAGGGTGTTTAGCATATTAGTTTTTAAAACTGCAACAAAATACCCCAGTCAGAATCGCAGTGCATACTGTCATCCCAAACTCGCAGAACTCAAGTCCACGGCCTGGTCCGGTTTCCTGAAATCCTTCTTTTTTAAATTTGACTTTGATCACATCCGAAGACCGTCAAGTATTAGAAGACCATTTGTTATTCACCTCTCATCAACACGCTCCACTGCAGCCTGTTCGTGAAGTCCAAGCCCATCGCCACCAAAACCTCGATTTCCCCTCCCTCCAAACCCTTCCTAGGACAGACCCCTACCTCGTCCTTCTTCCACTACATAGATTGATACACTCTTGAAGTCAATTCTGTTTCGCTCCCATTCTCTCTAAATTGGAGCGAACGTATACTTCAATGAGTGATCCATGCATAGTTCTATGCCTAAATTCTAGCAGCTTCAAATTTAGCAGAAGGTTGGTAGGCCTACATATGAGACAATGGGTCTGCATGGTCAGTGTGTGCAGTAAACAAAAATCAGGGCTCCTGCATTGCATTGTGGGAACACCATCTTCAGTACCCTTTGTTCACCATGCCTTATGGCAGCAAAAACCTCACTCCCCAGCAAATTGGGAATCTTCTCTTCCCAAGTGATAGTTCTAACACCAATGGAGGTGGAAGTGAAGTTGAATTCTATGGTTTTGAGGAGTTAGTGACTGAAAGCAATGCTCAGGATGCTGGAAATAGTACTGAAAACCCTGATGACCCTCAACCATCCACCTCTGGAGCTGATCCTCTGCTTCACGTTCAGTTTTACCATACTGTAAACACAAGTTTAGATTTTCCCATGGCCATGGCTCAGATGTGAACAATGCTGATGACAGTGATATTTATTATGATTTCCTAGCTTTTAATGACCATTCAAGTAGCAACAGTGAAGGGGAATATTCACCAGTGTAGCATTGATTTATACAACACTGCAAGCAGTCTGGTAGTGTACCATATGCTAGTCCAAGGGGATGGAGTACATCTCAAAGTACATCTCGTGGCTCTACACCAGCAACAGAGAGTGAAAGATGAAGAAGTTGCTACAATTGGGATGAATAATATACTGCATGCAGTAGTAGACAGTGGTGATGGTGACACACGTGATGCGGCACCAGCATCGCCCCAGGCTGGGAGTCATGATGCTCTCACTCAATATATTCATGACCCAGGCTAGCCTCAATCACCCACACACCACAACAAGCTGGACAACCACAACCAGCTAGAAATATCCAGTACCCACCAACAGACAACATCTGGGACTGGCAGCAGGGTGCCAATTTTGTACCCAATCCCCATCAATTTGATGACACTTAAAGTGGAATCCTGCCATCCTGTACCCTTGGGAACAATGCCAGTGAACTGGAATGTTTTTAACTATTTTTTGATCAACCCCTGATGAAAGTTGTCAGGGAAAGTAACATACTTTGGTTATGCCATGGCAAACCACACTTGTTTCACCACAATTATGACTACACCAGTGGAAGGAGACAACTGTGGCTGAGATGTATTTATTCCTTGCCACAATAATGCTCATGCCACATGTGTATAAGCACAGTATCAAATCATACTGGTTGACAGACCACCTAATTTCAACCCCAGCCTTCAGTGATATCATCCCCATCAACTGATTTATCATACTCTACGTATGCTACACTTCTCGGACATAACAAGGCCTGACAGAAACAACAGGTTATACAAGATTAAGAATATGTTTATGTATCTGAAACAAAAGTTCATTACATATTTTTACCCCTTCAAGAACCTTGTTACTGATGAATTTTTAATTCTCTTCAAAGGTAGATTGTTGTTCAAGCAGAACATATCAAGCAAGAGAAAACACTATGGTATCAAGCTGTTTGTGCTTTGTGATTGTGCACATTAGAAGTAAGACATTGAAAGATACCAGGAAGTTATTGGGTACTTCAGGTGATATGGTGAGAACAATGATGGAACCACATCTTGGTAAGGGGCATACATTATATATGGATAATTGGTACATAAGCCTCTTACTTAGTGATTTCCTGTGAGTGAACATAATAGATGTGTGTGGTACAGTGTGTGGAAATCGTAAGCATATGCCCAGGTTCAACGCAGTCTCTCATACTGGTGAGGTATAGGTGTTTGCTGCCAATGACATCATGGCATTACAGTGGCATGACATGCAAGATGTGACATCATTGACATCAATTCACCAGAATGAAATGACAGACAGTAGCAGGGAAGACAGAGAAACCAATGAACCCACTGTAAAACCTGTGGCTGTGATTGACTACACCGTCAATATGCGTTTGGTGGACAAATGTGACATGCAGATTGGGTTTGCCGATTATGTTCATAAGAGTTGTAAGTGGTACATAAAACTCTTCTTCCATCTTGTGGACATTTCAATTCCCAATGCTTATAATATGTACCAGATGAAGACTGGCAACAGACTACCTTATGCTGAATTTTGATTGTCTGTCATCAGGCAAATGATATTCAAGTACCAGGTCACAACACCCACAATACAAAACCGCCCACGAACTGATCACCAAACACCCTGTCGTTTGAGGCATGGGGATCACTTCCTAGTAACAATTCCTCCTACTAAGAAGAAATGGGCTCAGAAGAGATGTTTATGTGCA